AGAAAATTGTCAACATTGAACAAAATTGGAAAAAATGATGTTCGATTTGGAACAAAAAAACATTGTCTCAAAGTTGAAAGAAAAAATTAAACTTAGTGTCAAAATCGAAAAAAATGAAAACTTAGTGTTTTTTGTGAGAAAAAAAATTCAATTTTGACACGTCAGCATATCATGTCAGCATGCCACGTCATCAAAACTGATACATCATCATGCCACGTCAGCATGCAACCTGGTTAACCGGTGAAGTGGTCAAAATTGTAACAAATTGGAAAACACAATGTTAAAATTGACACAAAAAGAAACATGGTGTCAAAATCGAATTTCTGTATAAAAAAAATGTTTTTTGTGTCATTTACCCTAAAAAATACAATATGGTAATCATCAACATTCCTTATTGAATTGGATTTTAATTCCTGATGGAATTTCGTTTCCCTAGTTTAATGAAAAGTAAAAATCACTTAGGATTCCAATTCATTTTAAAAACTTGAATCAAATTTGGAAAAGTAAACTTTTAACATGGAAATGCTTTAAAAACTTGAATCAAATTTGGAAAAGTAAACTTTTAACATGGAAATGCGTCGGAACTCGATTCCAAATCTTCTTAATTTCAAACCAAAAGGCTTTATATTTCTTTTCTCAAACACTTGTACTTCAAATAAAGCTACACATTCCACCTAATATACCTAAGAACTAATCAAGTCACTAAAGTCCAAAGTTATAGTCATGACGTCAAATTTCACTTCATAAGATTTTCATCAATCCTACAAGGAGCTAATTAAGCATTAGTAGAAACCGATTACTTTTTTTTATCACCTCTTGTTCAACTCCATATAATCTATGAGTACGCATGTATAGTAGATTAAGATACTACTTACATATCTCAAAAATAAATCAACAGTGACAATATTTACATCAAACCCTACATGAAACACACAATAATCAAAAACCACAATATTTACATCAACTCAAACTAAATCCAACAAGAAACAATAAAGACAACCATAGTTATCCACGCAAAAAAAAAAAAAAAAAAAATGTCACGACTTCACACAACTTCAATCATATCAGATTTAAAGCAGTGCTAAACTGCTGTTGAAGCCAATCAGTATCAACATTTCTTCTAACCCTCCCCTTGCTTCTCTTAATCTCAATAAGCTTATCATGCACACACCAAGGAAAACTCAAAAAATGATCACGTGTTTTCATATCCTCATTATACTTCCCCCAATAATCCGGATGATATGTCACATGATACCATGCAGATGCTTTCGCATACACATCATCATCTCCAACATCCACATCACCTCTACCTTTCCTAAACCAATTCCTCGCTTCCTTTCTCAAAGACTTCACAGCCAAACCAACCGCTTCAGCATCATTCCTCCTATCAAACGACTTGGACATTTTCATAATACTCCCACTTAACAATTCAGCCTCGGTTTTAAGCCCATAATAATCCATCAAATTACCCAATTTGTAATCATACTCCGTTTTAAAATCAAAAGCTTCATCAACATAGTACTCAAACCCGCTGACTTCCAAGTCAACATCGTACGTTTGTCTCGCCACGTCACGCGTGAACGGGTTGACCTGGCTGTTTTGTGGGGCGATATCTTTGACCTCACGAAAGAGTTTCCCAATCACGTTATATGATTCGTACGTTGTTTTATCGGATTTTTCCATGAAATCAGGGTACTCTTTGACACGAAGATTTGCGGGGATTTCCGCGGGGACACCGGTTTTCGGAAAATCTACAGCTATTGAGAAAAGCTTTGCGAGCTCTATGCATGGTGGGGCCATTGCCTTTTCGAGTTCTCTGTCTGCAAACACTGTGTGGGCGTTTGCTATGATTCCTAGACTATCGTTCACTATGTAGTTTGTGAAATACTCCTCGACTTCCTGAAATTGATAAATAAAAACAAGATTTTAAGTAATTAATGTAAACACTTTGTTTCTATTTGTAGAATAAGAAAGAGTAGGGAGTGGTAAAGTTTATGCACCTCAATGGTAACATCATGATCGAGTTGCATACTTGGAGCTGGAGTATAATCCATCGGTTCAATTTGCTTAGGTGGAATTAGATCCCGATCCCAACACACAAAGTAAATATCTCCATCCAAATCACTCCCCGAGCATTCGTTTGGATGAGGCCTATCAAACATCAAAAGCTATACTTTTATTACATAAATTCAAAAAATAAAATATAAGTTTGACTTTAATACATTTTACCTATGTCCTTTTTGAGGAAAAACAACACAGTCAACCATATGATGTAAGCTTGGAACATTAACAGCTTTCAAAACCCGAACATCACCGGGATGCAAACACGGGTTTTTAGCAACTACGACTTTTCCAACAACAATTTTACTCTTGTAACCACCAACACCACTACTACTACTACTACTACCATTATCATTCAATGGCCTTCTTCCTGCTCCAGAAAAGTGAACAAAAACTTCACCATATTCAAGTGTTCGGGTCTCATCCAAACACCCCATCATTGCCCTTCCTTTGGAAACAAAAATACGCGTTTTTGTACGCAATTCCAACAGCTTTGTCGCGCGAAAAACTTGCAGCATCATTGAGAGAAACGGTTCAGCATTAGGCTTGTAGCCACACGAAAGCATTTCCTTCATAATGTTTGTGTTTTCACCAGGTGACATCAGCTCCAAAGCTTCTTGCGCCTTCGTTGGCTCCCTCAAAACAGCATCTAGCAAATCCACAACTTCTTTTTGCTTTTTCTCAAAAACATGGTCTTTGACACCGAGAGTAGAAAGAAGTGTGATGAGCTGGCGATTCATGTAGCACGGTTGATACTTACTTATTGCAAGAACATCTAATTTCGTATTGTCGGATTCAAATTTACACATACTGTTCCTCAAGGAGAGTTTTGTTGTTGAAGTGGGGTCCACAGCCACAACACCTTTATACCCACCGTATCGAATTTGAAAAGCAGATGGAATAAAATCATAACCGCATTTTTTCGAAACTCTTATAGCAAACTCGGCGGATATTTTCCCAATTCCATCAGAAAAAATATACCTCACACCATTTCTTATCACTTCCACGTCAGCAATTTTTGCAACTTCATGATGTGCTACACTTAAACTTTCCTTTGAAGAACCGAAAGACTGACCGAGTCTTGCAGCATATTTCGCGACATTTTTAATACTACTGAAATCACCCATCCATTCGCGTATATCAGCAGCGTTAATTCTCCCAGTTGAAGCAAACATCCACGCAGAATTGTCACGCAACTGACTCGAAGAAAAAGCGAGAAATTCAAACTTTTTGTTTCCGATAACAATTCCGTTTTTTAGAACCGATAAAATCCTCGTGTAAATTGCGGTTCTGTTTACCCCAGTTAAGTTATTCGCGCGTGGAGACAAATCTGTTGAATAAAGTTTCTCCAATTCTTCATCAAGAAACGATACGCGAATAAAATTATCGATGTAGTCTGCATAATGGCGTAGAACTCGATTCGACACGTTGACTTCGGGCCCACAAAAGTAGACTTTTGAGGGTGTGATTTGAACCCTTCTGACGTACACAAGACCGGAATCTAACGAGATAGCAGGTGATCGCAGCCTGTTGTTGTTTTTGTATTCTTCTGTTATCCACCTCACCGGATCATAACAAGATTCTTTGAGATAAAAGAGCTTTTCAAGAACATATTCGATGGACCCGATGTCTCTTCTTTGTGGATCTAAGAGCTCGTAGAAAGTGGCATCGAGCAGTGGGCCCGGGATGCAACCGTGTTGAACCAATGTGCAGATTTTGAAAACTATGTTGTAAGGGAGATAACGAGTGGGACCCACGATTGGGACGAGGTCTAAGTTTCGGGAAAAACTATGACCTGTCGTTAATTGGAAATGGCGATGATTATCTTCATAATATGGGAAGTAGCGAGCAAGATTTGGGAGGTCAACACCAAGTGGAAGCTCCAAACATAAATGGGAAGATTGTCCGATTGATGAAGATGGAGTAAAATCAGTTGCCCTAACCCATTGATCATCGGGAACTTCACTATAAAAGCTATGAATGTTGTCTTCAACTTTCTGGTAAATTCGAGGAGCACCATAGAGCTGTAAAGAGACAAATTCATTTAGTCAGGAAGAGATAATAGCAATGTACTTTACTCTCATTACCAATATGGGCAATATACTTTAGTTTTTATCCATAATAGCAATGTACTTACTTTCATGTCAAATTTAGAAAACATACTTAGGATAAAAACATAAAAGATTTGTAAACTTCAGGGTTGTTTTTTGCAAATTTATAAGCTTAAAGGCAGAAATGAAAACAACATGGCAAACTTAAGACATTAAGTTATTAACACACCTAAAATCATCACAGACAAATTGAAGGACTTTTATGTCAAAAGCCCATAAAACAAAATGGTATTACAATATAATCGGTAAAGGCTAAAGATATACAAGTAAGTTGCTATTATTGGTAACAAAGTGTAAATAGGTTGCTATTATGGGTAAAAAAAGTAAACTTCCTATAATGGTAAAAAAAATGTAAAGTAGTACGTTGTTGTAATTAACTCAATCAAACTAACCTGAATAACAACAAATTTTGCATTATTTCCACGTGAACGTCTAAGTTGAACTTGCCAAATATTCTCATAAGAGAGTTGAAGCTTGTAACTTGTAGTAGGATATGAAACAACAAAGTACAACCTCCTTAATCCAAACCCAAATTTCACTGATACTTTTTTCATTTCACTTAACACATGCAAAGTATCCTTTGACACCTGGCAACCAAAGTGAACAATCACCCCTTCCATCTCAAATGCAAATTGTTTGGGCCTCTGTTCGATGTCATGATCATTTATAAAAGCCTTTAAATAAGTTCTACCAAACCACAATCTTTTATTGTTTGCAAGGTCTATAATGTACTCAACTCTTTCCCTTGTTTTGAATTGTACTTTTGCATATGATCTTGACCCTCGGTTTGACTTTTTGACCTCTAAAGCATAAATAGTCCCGGGACCCGTGTAATTCTCTAGAGATGTTTTGATTACTTCTGCAGATTCTAAATTTGGGTATCCATACACCTGAACTGTCTTACTCATGGTGTTTTAGCTGTAATGTTGTTTTATAACATGTAATCAGTACCCATAAATACATTGAAATCGTAATAAAAGAAGTAATGATAAGCAATTTAAGCATAAAAAAGGTAGAAACTACATTATTGGAATAACTTGTTTGTAGAAACCAGTTACCTCCCTCTTTTACCTTTTTCCCAATTTCGTGCAAAGAATCCAAGTAAATGTTTCTGAGAAAAGTACAAATGAAACACATTTGACCTAATCTAAGAATCTAGGTTGGCTTCATAAATGAAGATCACACGTTTTAATCATAAAACATATGATTTATATCTTCACGTAAAAACAAATTTACAGGACTCTGATGATAGATCACGCATTTTACTAACTGAAATTCGTTCATTTCATCAAACAAAAAGCAAAATTGTCTATAAACTGATAATTTTTTTACCAGGTTCGATCATTTTAATGTAGTAGCAATTAGGTTAGAAACAGAAAGGAAATCAATAATGCTATCATAAACCTTAAGTAACAGAAACTATTTAGCAGATAGTATGCAATGGAAGAGCGATTTACCGAGTAGTGAAGATGACGAAGCGAAACGACGACGTCGATGATCTGCGTAAGGGTTGGGGTTTGTTCATGGACGTCTTTATGTATAATTGGATTGGATATAGTAGGGGACTTTGATCGTCAATGGCAAGTCAATTTGCTAGTCTTTTTCTAGAAGATTCCTTTTGGTTTATCGTTTTGTGGCTAAATCGTACTATAGGAGCATTATTTGACGTTTAAAAAGTTAAAATGAATATAGTTGGTGTATCATGGGTCACAAGAAGGACTATGTTGTTTCATGAATTTTTAATATCATTCGTCCTTTTCACTTTACTTTATTAATAGATATATATTTCCATTAAAAATATATGTCATTTGAAAAAAGAAAAGATGGTATAATTACTTTATCTTTTAAGTATACCCTTTTGACTGTTTTTTATTATTTTATTTCGATTTATCCTTATTCTAATTATACATACTTATAAAACTGATATTTTTTTTAAATCTCATTCATTTGAAGCGTTCATAAAAATTTATCAACACCTCATGCATTTGAAACCTCCACACATTTTCACCTTCAAAGTAATTAATCATGCATAATCTTATTCCAAGAAAATCACACACTCTATAAGTTCAACACCCCATGCATTTCAAACCCTCACATCCTTTCACATTCATTATATATGTAGTTATATTATTACATTTTTCTTACAAAAAGTCATCATTTGGTTGAAGATATTATGATTCAAAAGCTTTCATATAGTTGAAGCATTTACGATCCAAATATGATGATTTGAATAAATGGGTTATGTTGCATCGATAGTAATTGTAATATGATTTTTTTTTTCACCAAAACAAATGAAACTTTTCTATTCTTTCTTTATATTCAATTTCTCATTTCACCTTTTTATATTATTTGTATATATTACTCAATGTTGAATGTGACTCTCCAAACATCAATGTTTTGTTTGGAATATCTTAATATCTTTCTCATTCTTCTTTTTCAAGAAAATCATTTTGATTGTAAGTTAGTGAAGAATTATCATCAAGTTTCTATGGTTGAATTGTGTTCAATAAAGAAAGAAGATTCAGAAAACAGATATAGTTTTTTTTTAGCAAAATAGACGAATGTTAGTTTTTTTTCTTTTTATTTAAACGTATATTTATGTAACATTTTTATTTATATATTCAACCACTCAATGTTCTTAATTATTGGATTGTATTTTTTCTATTTTGATTATGTTTATTTTCTATTTTTTTTTTTTTGTTGGATTATCCTACACAAGATATTTACAAGATAATATTTAAAAGATAACATAATTTTTAACATTTGATATGTAATTACGATGACTTATCATGATATGTTCTTCATATGAAAGTAATCTATCCATATTACTTCGCCAAGAATTACATATGACATTTACGAAAAATATATATTATATGTGATTTGTTTAACATATATATGCACCTATGTATATTATAAATTTATAATTAAATATCTTTATGTTTAATAATTAAAGGGATTAAAATGATGCATCAAAACCAATTATTTAGACGAATAATAATAATAATAATAATAATAATAATAATAATAATAAATACACATTTCCAAGTATTGTATTCATTTGAAACTCACACTACAACTCAAGAGTTTTCTAATTTATGTATATTTATTAGTTACTTTATGTATATTTATTAGTTACAAGTCAAGAGTTTTTAACTTATGATTATTAATTAGTAATCACAAATAACTATTTATTTTCCTTTCTTTTATAAGGTTGTAAAGTTTTGCTCATTATAAATATTATAATAAATGTTTTAGTGTTTTTATGTTATTAAAAGTTATAGTGTTTATTTTTCATATTTTTTATTATTCGTTGTGTGTGTGTGTGTGTATACAAATGTTATAATAGATGTTTTTGTATTTTTATGTTACTAAAAGTTATAGTTCATATTTTTGTTCATACATTTTGTTACCCCGTTATATATAGATTATCATACGTTTGATATATAATTTACACAGTTTTAAACGGTTTATAAAATTATCAAATAATTGTATATGTCATAATGACTTATAAATTAAAACTATAATCATCATACTTTATTATAAATGAAACATTTTTTCTTTCATCACATTTATTTAAAACTCATAACTTTTCATATTTCGATACAATATACTTAATTTATTAACTTAAATATGCTTTTAGTTGTAAACATTATTATAAATGGAAGAATTTGTGACTTACCAATATGATATACTTAATTTGTTAACTTCAATATACATTTAAAAAAATAACTTACATTAATATATCAAATAAGCTTAAATATTTAGTGTAAAATTTAAAACCTAAAGTAAAATATCATATAATGTTTAAACAAAATTCAATATATATTTTTTAACATAGTTAAAAGGAAAACATTAAATATTATAATAATAAAAGAACCCAAACTGATGATTGAATTAATTAAAATGTGTCTGAAAACTATATTCTAACAATATATTTTTAACCAACGTCGCGCAATGCGTGAGAATTCGTCTAGTAAAAGAATAGTTTTATTCTTCTTTTGACATGTGTCACCTTATTAGGCCTCCTAATTAATGTATATTTTATTTTTCTTTTGTCATGTGTCACCTTATTATGTCTCCTAATTAATGCATGCCACTTACCAACCTATTAAATCTCCATTTCAAATTTTCAAATTTTAAATTTGTCACTTTAGTTACATTAAATTAATAATATTGAAATAAAAATTAAAATAAAATTAATACAAATTATAAAGTGATATAATTTCATATATTTATTTAAATAAATGATTATAAATTTATATAACTAAAATATCTCTTAATTAATAATTTATTTAAAACAATTGATTAATAATTTTGAATTTGTATACTATAAAAGTTTAATTAATTTTGTAACCGTGGTTTCCACCGGTTATAAACTAGTTAATAATAAATTGAATTCGTTAGGTTGGGATTTGGGATAGAATATGTTTTTTAAGCTTATTCCATATGTATTTACTAGATATTGTTTAGTGATAAATTTTTTTACGGAAAATATATTATATCATGATACATAATTATTGTCTCTTTTTTTCATGAAATTGGTGTGATTGCGCCCCACACAAATCTCATGTGTTTTGATGAATATAAACAATACCAACCGTTTATCCGATCATCCGATGAATACTCCTACAAGATGATAACGATGATATTTAAAAATTTGAAGAACATCTGTACACCTCCAACTTTTAGTTGGTGATTTCACCCATTGTTTAAAGTGACGTCTTTGGAGACACTATTTTATGTTTAGATCATTACGCTCATATTCCAATAGAAGATAAATTACATCAATAAGTGGGTCATTGTTAGATGAAGTGTAACCATTGAGGTGAAGGCAAGACTCAGTCCACAAGTTATGATAAAAAAATATCTTGAATTGTTTTAACCATCTAACAACATTTAGAAAGATTATTAACATACTCTCACTCTCCATTAAATAATTATTTTGGAATTACTGTTAAAAAATACGAGAGCTTTTATGGAATAAATGTTGGGGGATTTGAATTTTCAAATTTGACTCCTATTTTAAGAATCTCGGCTTATGTTTTTGTCATATAAAAATGCCTTTTATAAATCGAGTAAAATCAGTAAGGTTTTATAAAAGTTTGTTCCAAACACTTGGTCAATCTAAACTTTAGATGGTCAATGCATACAAAAACATTCTCTCAATGACTCTTTGTTGTACGTTTAATATTAAAAAAAAAAAAAAAAAAAAAATCAACTATTGTACGTTGATATTAAAAAAAGGTTTGGAAACTCGATGCATCAACTCCATGAAAGTTGTTGGAGCATTTGTTAATTCAAAGCACATAACAAGAAATTCATAGTTTTCATATCTTGTTCTAAAGGTTGTCTTCTCAATATCTTGCTCTCTAATATGTTAAATTAGGTGTCTAATCTCATAACTATAATTGATATTTTCTTAAGTTAATAGTAGGACAGTTGCCTTCATTCTAGCAACTTGACTGGATGACTTTTGGAGAGAGAAATTGAATTTATTATTTGGAATAATAAATTGATATAAATGATTTATTAATATGTTATGAAAATAATATGTTGATTAGAAATCATGATTATTTAATTAATATTTAATCAGAAATTAATTTGGAATTAATTTTGGAATTAAAGGAATTAATTAAAAATACAGGGGGCTGTTTTGCAATTGATTGGTAGTTGTGAAATAGGGTTCTTGGACTCCTTAGATAGGAGTGGACGAAAAATTATAGGGAAACCCTATAATTTTTTGTCCAAAGGCTTCTAGATGAAGAGTTTATGGGCTGCTTAGGCCTTAAGCAGGAAATTAGGGTTTCCACCAACAAACCCTAGCTTTAGGACTAAGGGGTCGTTTGATAGTTGTTGATTGGGTTAGGTTGACTGAGTTAGGAGCTGACTGGGTTAGAAATGCTGACTGAGTCCACATCTGACTGAATTTATGCTGTTTGATTATTTATCTGACGGATTGTACTTTAATGATTAAAATGACCATATTATCCTTATGTTGTCCTTTTGTGTTGGATAAAATAATTATACAAATAAAAATTATCACATAAAATCCAAATTAAACATACATAATTAAAAATCCAAATATGAATTTTAATACAAAATTCAAATTGTCATACATAATAAATATATCATTTAACGTGAACCATTTGAAAGTAACTAATTAGCAATTTGGTCACGCAACGTAGTCATATACTCAACAGCTTCCGAACCCTATTCTATGCATTGTATGTTTTGGCCCTCACTTCCTCCACCTCCCACATTAGGAGTAACCATAGTGTTTTGTTCAAAGTTCATAAATAGGTCATCTTCAATATCGTATTTCTTTATAAAATTAAGGACCGCGACACAGACAATGACTATGTCTCTTTGCAATGGAAAAGGATAAGGAGCCATACGTTTTAAAATTGGAAATCTCGCCTTCAATACACCATAAGCACGTTCAATGAAATTTCTAAGTTGTGCATGAGCATGATTGAACCTTTCTTCCTTAGTTAAAGCTCTGTTTCTTCAAAAATCAGCTAACCAGTACCTAGTATTACGGTAAGGAGCCATAAATCCACGGGTGTTGGTGTATGCGGCATCACAAAGGTAATATTTATCTGTAGATGGGTGACAAATTAATCATATAAATAATATAGATAATAAAATTTATAGGAAAATGACAAACCTGATGGAGGGAATGGAAATCCAGAAGTTGG